GCGGCCCAGGGGGGTGGGGGGGGGCAGGGACGTGATGAAATGAGAGGAGGCGCCACGAAATCTAACTCAGATCCCATGGCCCACGACGTGGTATATATATATACATACATACATACATACATACATACATACATACATACATACATACATACACATATATATATATATACATATACATATGCATATGCATATACATATACATATACATATACTTATACACACACACATATATATATATATATATACCCTTGGTCATCCCCCCTCCCTTGGCCGCCCCCGAGGGGTGGAAGCAAAAGCGCACACTCCCGGGCGGCAGCGGGGCGGGGCCGCACGGCGGGGCCCGAAGGATCGGCGAGCGAGCGAGGGCCGGCGGGAGGCCCCGCGAACGAGCGACGGGCGCCGAGGCCTGGCCCGCCGGGGCCCGGAAACCGCTGGGGCCGCCGAGCAGGGCTGGGGCGACGAGGTCTTTGAAGGGGCCCTGGGGCACACAAATAAATACACACAAATAAACAGATTCCCCATATCTTTCCATATTTTCTGGGTGTTTGTCTTCCCCCCCACTTCCCATATGTTCCCATATTTTCTGGGGAATCGACGATTCATTGTGTCTGTGTGTTTTTTCTCATCCTGAGTCTTGGAGGCCTGGACGTGGGCACCAACACCAGCAAAGGGCGGTTGCCTCCACAAGGGGAATGACGATCCCGGATTCCGGCGGTGGTGGCGGTGGTGTTTCGGTCACCTGGGAGGCCAGAGCAGCACCACCACCACCGAGATCGGGACCTCCTTCCCCCGGCGGAGGCACCAACGCCGACGTTGGTGTTGGTGTCAACCTCTGGGCCCGCGAAGGTCTGCGGCCGGGAGCTCCTGGACAGCGTGCCGCCGAAGCGGCCTCCGTGCCACGCTGCGCCCTGCGGGCGGGCAGCGCGCCGTTCCGCTCCGCGGGGCGGGAGGGCAGGGCGAGGCTCGGGACGTTGGCGCTGGGGGGCCAGGAGGTTAGGGGGCCACACCCTTGATCCTTATTATTATATGCCCCAACCTACCTCGTATTCCGGCCGATAGCAACCCGATCCGGGACCTCCCATCCGGACTGTAAAAAATCAATACAAAATAGCCGTTTTTCTTCTCAACATCGTCTTTCTTGTCGTCGACGATGCGAAAAGCGTGGCAGGAATGGGACGCGGCGCACATCGCTCGCGGCAGCCAATCTGGACCCGCCCATCCTGACTGTAAACAATCAAAACCAAGTCTTCGCTTTTTCCTCTCAGCATGGCCTGCCTTGTCGCCGACGGTGCGAAATACGTGGCAGGAATGGGACGCGGCGCGCATATGGGACGCGGCGCACATCGCGCGCGGCCGTCAATCCGGGCCCGCCCATCCTGACTGTAAAAAATCAATACAATGGTTCCGTTTTTTCCTCTCAGCATGGCCTGCCTTGCCGTCGACGGTGCGAAATGCGTGGCGGGAATGGGACGCGGCGCAAATCCCGCGCGGACGTCAATGCGGTGTCCTGGGGTATCCTCCACTCGCACTGAAATGCCCGCGCAGCCCCCAGGTGTGCCATCACTGTTTCTTATGTTGTGGGAGGGCGGGTGGGAATGGGCATGCCATGCCTGACTCGCTCGAGCTGGCTAGCTCGATGCGAACCCTACCCCCGCCCCCCATGATTTCTGAGGGGGAGGGTGGGGTTCGCTGCGCTCGGGAGCTCCCGAACGGAGTGAACCCCACCCTCCCCCTCAGAAATCGTGGGGGGGTAGGGGTGGGGTTCGCATGTGACCCCCTAGAGGCGGGCGGCAGCGCGTCGCGCAAGAGCGTGGGCCAGAGCGGGCGGCGCGACGCGCTGTCCCAGAGCTCCCCGCCGCATGCAGAGTCACCGCCCCCACGGCCATGCCCGTTCCGGAGCCTCCCGGGCGCGCCGTGGGCGCCTCCCGGGCCGAGCCAGGAGGGCGTAATTGCACCGTTCCTGGCTCCCCCTCCCTCCTCCCTCCTCCCTCCTCCCTCCCTTCTCCTCCCTCCATTCTCCTCCCTCCTCCCTCCTCCCTCCCCCTCTTCCTCTTCCTTCCCCTCCCTCCTCCCTCCTCCCTCCTCCCTCCTCCCTCCTCCTCCGCCCTCCTCCCTCCTCCCTCCTCCCCCTTCCCCCCCCCTCCCCCCTCTCCCCTCCCCCCTCCCCCCTCCCCCCTCCCCGCCTCCCAGGGGGGGGGGGGGGGAGCTCCAGCGGCGCCCTGTGGGTGAACTGTGAGGACGTCTCGAGCAGGAGCCCCCCCCCCAAGTGGAAGGCCCCCGCCTCGTGGGTCTGATCCGATGGGGGGGTCATCCCAAGACATGCCCCCAGAAGCGGAGGTGCGCTCGATGCCTGGCTTGCCCGGGGGGCAAGAGACCTCGCCTGAAGGCCCACCCTAATTCCTGGAATGCTGCCGCCCCCCCCGCCCTGAGGTAACGCGGGGTGTTTGGCGGCCAGCAGGCCCGCTGGTGCTATCATCGTCTTGGTCAGAGCAGGCGGCTGGAGCAGCGCAGGCTTTTCTCGGGCACGCTCGGGATCCTGAGCCTCGAGTGTGGAGCACGTCTCGAGCGGAGCGCGGTCTCCGTGCGAATTACGGAGACGTCTCCAGCGGGATTCCTCCATAGGAGCCCTCGCCACACCTCAGTGATCAGACCAACGGTTTACCCTGGCTTCGTCGACGAGCGGCACTGAGGCGTCTGAACGGCATGCTCAACGAACCTGAGGAGGAGGAGGAGAAGGCGGAGGAGGGGGAGGACTCTGGACCAGGAGGAGGCAGAAACAGTATTAGGTCGGGCATGTACTCCTCAAAACGGATTTGAGGACATGATCGACCCACGAACCCGGAAAGGAATATACAAATGCAACGCATGGCAGCGTTTTCAAAGACACCTGATTGGGTGACGGGCAAACGAAATGCTGAATGTATCGATCTCGATGTACCGTGCCGAGGGCTGTGCTGTGCTGTACCGTGCTGAATTGCGTTGTGCCATGCCGCGGTTGTGCTCTATAGCGCCGTGGATCGAGTCTTCCTTTGCATCCGAGTCCTGACCGAACTGATCTGGATCTTAAGCTCGAGCTGCCTGAACACATAGTAGCTGCCCCAGAGCTAATTGACAGGGGGACATGCCAGGAGGACGCGCCACGAAACGTCCCAAGGGACGCGCCAAGCGACGTGCCAGGGGACGTGCCATGGGGTCGCACCGCGGGACGTGCCAAAAGGACGCGCTACGGAACGTGCCAATGGATGTGCCACGGAATGTGCCAGAGGACGCGCCACGCGACGTGCCAGGGGGACTTGCCAAGGGACGCCCCACGGAATGTGCCAAGGAACGTGCCAGGCTGCAATGCTGATTGTATCGATCTTGATGTACCGTGCCGAAGTCTGTGCTTTGATGCACCGTGCTGAATTGCGATGTGCCATGCCGCGGTTGTGCTCTGTAGCGCCGTGGATCGAGTCCTCCTTTGCATCCGAGTCCTGACCGAACTGATCTGGATCTTAAGCTCGAGCTGCCTGTACACATAGTAGCTGCCCCATAGCTAATTGACAGAGGGGACATGCCAGGAGGACGCGCCGCGGAACGTCTCAAGGGACGCGCCAGGCGACGTGCCTGGGGACGTGCCATGGGGAGGCACCGCGGGACGTGCCAAGGGGACGCGCTACGGAACGTGCTGGGGACAAGCGTTTCGCTCGAGACATCCTGCCAACATCCTAAGAAGTCCTGCGCGCGGGACACGGCACGCGCGAGACATCCTCGGAATTCTTGCGAGCGGGACGTGAAAACAAGCGTTTCGTCTGAGACATCCTCAGAATTCTGGACCCCCACGGGCCCCCCCACGAGGCCCCCGCTCGAGACATCACCCAATTTTGCAAAACCAGCGTTTCGCTCGAAACGTCTTCAACAAATTACAAGCATTTCGCTCGAGACATCCTGCCAAAATTCAAAGGAATCCTGGCAAAACAAACAAATTAAGTGAGACATCCTCGAAAATCCTGCGCGCGGGACGCGGCACGCGCGAAACATCATCGAAATTCCTGCGCGCGGGGCGCTTTTCCGCGTCGCGGTCGGCTTTGCAAAACCAGCGTTTCGCTTGAGACATCCTCAACAAATTCTGAAAACAAGCGTTTCGCTCGAGACATCCCCAACTCTGCAAAACCAGCGTTTCGCTCGAGACATCCTCAACACATTCTGAAAAACAAGCGTTTCGCTAGGGACATCCTCAAAAATAATTCCGCCGCCCCACCTCGACCTCGATATTTATCCGGGAATAATTCCGCCGGCCCACCTCAAGTCAGACCCGAGGGGTAAACAGCTAAAAGAGAACCCTGGGCCTACGCCTTTCCGGGAAAATGGAAACACGCAAAACAGATATTCAACAAATATATACAAAAAACGTGTCCATACTATTCTTTGACTAGTTTCGAATATTCCTCCTGTAGAGGGGCATGCCCGACTTAAAAATAGGAGGGAGGTAAGAGGACGAGGCAGGACGAGGCAGGAGGAGGCAGGAGGAGAATAACGATGATGATGATGATGATGAGGAGGAGGAGGAGGAGGAGGAGGAGGAGGATGAGAAGGAGGAGGAGGAGGAGAAGGAGGCGTGAAGACGAGGGAATTATGAGGAGGCGTCAGGAGGAGGAGGAGGCATGTGGAGGCAGAAGGAGGCAGGAGAAGTGGAAGAGGATGAGGCAGGATGCTGAGGCAGGAGGCGGGAGGAAGAGGCAGGAGGCACGAGCACGGGGAGGAAGAGGTAGGAACACCCCCCAAAGGCCGACAACCGAGGAAGACCTCCGGGACTCGTTTCCCTCGTAATGCGCAAGCAGAAGGAGGATAAACTCGGACTCACGAGGGTAAATCGGGCGGGGATGCCTGAGAACCAACGGGCCAACAACAATAGATTTGGCGCCGAGGCCGTACCAGAACGCTCCAGACAACTATGCAAGCGCCCTGGAACGCTCTGGAGGCATGGCTCATCGTCCAAGGCCTGCCTGACCCATAGGCTCTCAAGGGCGCGTTTCCTTCATGCTGAGACCATGCTCTCCCGGCCTCCCTTCGGGGCTGGGCGCAGGAGAAGCCAGCTCTGCGCTTTCGCGGGGGCTTCCAGGCGGCCACCTGCTGCTTGTCCTCGGGCTCACTCCTTGGGGCGGAGCTCGGGAAACACTTGAAAGGAGCCTGTTGCCGCTGCTGCTCCTCCTCCCACCAGACGCAAAGAAGACCGCCTGGGGAGACCTAAAGGTATACCGTATACCAATAACGCTACTCCCTGGACCTCTCCCGGGGTGCGTTCTGACCAAAACTTCGAAGCGAATCCAACGGTGGCGACGAGGGCCTCCGAGGAGGCCCAAAAAGGGAAAACCGGGCGGGGGTAGTGGTATGGGTACCTGTTCCTCCTCGGATTGCCACCACCATCGCGAGGAGACAGCGAGAATCTCCCTGGTGGTGTGGCTCCCTTGCTTCGCAGTGCCCCCCGTCGAGACACGTCAGATACCCCACGGGGAGGCGCCGTGGCTCCCCCTCGCTGGCACTGGACCGCTTGAGGCGCTGGTGTCGCTTCTTCGGGAGGGGGAGGAGAGGTGAGGAGGAGGAGGATAAGGGAGGAGGACGAGGAGGAGGAGAAGTGAGGAGGAGGAGGAGGAGGCGGAGGAGGAGAGAGGAGAGAGGAGGAGGAGGAGGAGGAGGAGGAGGAGGAGGAGGAGAGGAGGAGGAGGAGGAGGAGGAGGAGAGGAGGAGAAGGAGTGAGGAGGAGGAGGAGGAGGAGGAGGAGGAGGATAAGTGAGGAGGAGGATAAGTGAGGAGGAGAAATGAGGAGCAGGAGGAGGGGGAGTGAGGAGGAGGAGGAGGAGCAGTGCGGGGGAGGAGGAGCAGGAGGAGGAGCCCTCCGGCCCTTTGGCCCTCGGCCGCCTCCTCCGACCCCCCTGCAACGGCACCAGGTCCCAAGGCCGACGCAAGCCGTCGCGCCGGCCCTGCCGCGGCTGGCGTGCCCCGGCGGCGCGGAGGTCGGCCCCGGGCAGAGTCGCGGCGTCAGAGCGCCCTGCGCCGGAGGGCGGAAGCACACATCGTGCGGGCGTCCGGTCGTGTTCCAGGCACTCCGCGCCTGCCCGCCGAAGGAGGCTGTCGGCCTCGCCTCGCTCCGAGGGGCTACATGCGTGCTGTGTCCTGGGCTCTCTCATGACTGCTGCCGTCTCTCTCTCTCTCTCTCTCGTTGCATGCGTCATCCTTTCTTGTGCATATCTGGTCGCCCCGCCGTTTGCTCGAACCACGCCTGCTCGCTTGCGCCCGCGGACCAAGACAGTTTAGTATCTCGTGAACATATATACATATATATATATATATACACACCTCTCTATATATTTTAATATACATACACATATATATATATATATACACATGTACACGCTGTGTGCGCACACCCATGTGCAGAACCTTCTTAGCCGTTTAGCGCACGGCGGGGCGCCGAACTTCCAAGGGGCCAGCTTGAAACTTCAACCTTGATTTTGAACTTCGGGAAAACGCTGTTTCGCCGCTGGACTGGAGCCTGCAATTAGGCTCCCGCGTGCGAGCCGAATGTGGTTCGACGAGGTCCAGAGAGGTGCGAAGCGCGCAGCGCCAACAACCACGACTACAGCTCCACAGCTTGTTCTTCGCGTTGAAATGTCTGTTGTGTTGAAATGTCTGCTGCAATGGAAAATTGGTCTGCTTCTGGGTGCCGCTGACTCGCTGCTAGAGCTTGAGCTTCTGCTTCAGATTCCGTGTGCGAGCCGAATGTGGTCCGAGAAGTGCTGGGAGGTGCGAAGCGTGCAGCGCCAACCACAACGACCGCAACAAAACATTGTGCTTGGCACTGCTGCTTGTGAGCGTTTGTTTATTCGGTGTTTCGGCATTGAGCGGAAAGGGGGGGGGGGAAGGGGGGGGTCTGGCTCCGGAGCTCTGCTTAACGCAACTGTTTGAAACAGCTGGCTTGTCTTATCTTCTCACTTTGACAGGTGTGGCACGAGAAACACTTCAAATGTTCGAGCAATATACGACATCGAAAACAGAAATGTTTAACTAATGCAATATGACGATAAGTAAAAAAAGCAGGGTGGAACGATTAAACTCAACTTCTTCGCAAAACTGAATCATCAAACGAAGAAAACAGTTAAAACATATAGAATTCTATCTCCACCGTGTGGAAACACGGGGACCACCACCGCGGCCGCAACTGCTAACGCACCGCCGCAACCGCGACCGAAACTGCAGCACCAACCGCAGCCGCAAGCGCACCCATTTGTGTTTTCATTTGTGTGTTGTGAACCATGGTGAACTGAGGAGCTTTCTGTGAAACACTGCTGCGAACCATGTTCGCTCTCAACGGCCCCCCGCAGGGAAACAAACATTTTCTTTGAAATACTGCAGCGAACGGAATCTAAACTGACAAATTGTCTGTCGAATGCTGCCGCGAAAAGTATGCGCGGTCAGTGGCCCCTCGCAACTGGCAACAAAACCTAAACTGACGAATTGTCTGTTCAATGTTGTTGCGAACGGTGTCCGCGGTCAACGGCCCCACACGGAAAGAAACAAAACCTAAACTGTTGATTGTTTTAATTAAATGCTGCTGCGAACGGCATCCGGGGGCCACACGGAACGAAATAAACCTAAACTGACGAATTTGCTGTCGAATGCCGCTGCGAACGGCATTCTCGGTCGACGGTCCCACACGGAAGGCAACAAAACTTAAACTGACAATTCCTCTGCCAAGTGCTGCTGCGAACGGCATCCGCGGTCAACGGCCCCACACGGAGGGAAATAAAACCTGAACTGACGGATTTTCTGTTAACTGCTGCTGCGAAGGGCATCCGGGGTCAAGGGCCCCACGCAGGAAATAAAACCTAAACCGACGAATTTGCTGTCAAATGCTGCTGTGAAGGGCATCCGCGGTCAACGTCCCCACGCGGAGGGAAGTAAAACCCAAATTGGCGAATTTGCTGTCCAATGCTGCTGCGAACGGCATCCCTGGTCGACGTCCCACACGGGGGGGCGACAAAACCTAAACTGGCAATTCTTCTGCCAAATGCTGCTGCGAACGGTATCCGCGGTCAACGGCCCCACACGGAGGGAAGTAAGATCTTGAAAAGATCTTGGGACGCTCTCGGGTCGTCTTGGAGGCCTCTCGGGTCGTCTGGAAGCCATTGTGGGTGCTCTTGGAGCGCTCTCGGTGCCGAAAACGGGCCCCGTGCCCCGGGGGGCCTAAGATGGTGGACCCATTTGCCATTGTGTCCCGGGGGGGGCTGGGAGGCCCCAGAGGAAGGCAAGGTTGACACAGCGTCCTCCCGCCAAGTTCGGCACGGTCCTCACACGGATCGTGCCCCCCAGTGAGCTCGACGTTCGGGTCCAAAGTCAAAAATGACATGGCGTCCCCCCACCGTCTCAGCACATCCTTCACACGGATCGTGTCCAAGAGGGATGTAGCTTCACATGAAGCCCTAGAGCGAAGAGTCGCATAACATCACGTCCTCCAGTGTATGAGGACTGTGTCTTCACACGGACCGTACCCCCAAAGGGAGCTCTTCCGACAGCCCCAGAGCCAATGTTCGCATCACGCCGCTCCGCCCATGTCGGCACACCCCTGACCTGGATCGTGAGTTCGGGGCGTCTATGGTGCCCTCGGGGCCTCGCGGCGTGTTTCTCAGGGTCCTCTTGAAGCCCTGAGATGCATCGTGAGTTGGGGGCCTCTTGAGGTTTCTCTAGGGAGGCCGTGCAGGATGTAGACGCGAGGCGTCTCATATGCTTCAGGGGGCCTACTGGGAGGCCTCCATGGAGCACTTTGGAAGCATTTAGATGGCCTCTGATCGGCCTTTTGGGAGCTTGCTAGAGCTCCTGGGCGACCCAGTGGGAGTCCCGGGTGGCGGCCTCGGGGGCTTTGTGGAGGCGGAGGGCTCGGATTGCCAGGTGGAATTCCCATCTTGGGTCCCTCCAAGGGCCCTCCAGTGACTGTGTGGGCCGTCTTGGCGCCTCTGGGGCCGTCTTGAGACAAGTTGGTGCCTCTTGAGCAGCTCTGGGGGGCTTATGGAGGGCATTATCGGACTCTGGGGCCGTCTTGGGACTCTCTTGGGGCTTCTCGGGCAGCTCTGGGGGGCTTTCTGGGAACCTTTTTCGGACCTCTTGGGATAACTTGTGGCCTCTTGGAGACTACTAGGGGCGTCCTGGAAACCTATTGGGGATTCTTGGCGTCCTCGGGGGACGTTGGTGAGGCCTCCTGGGGGTCTCTTGGGGGCCTCTTAGAAGCGGCTTGGGGTATCCTGGGGCGCTGCTTGGGGGTTTCTAGGGCCTGTGGTGCCTCTTGGGACCTTTTGGAAACCGTCTCTGGGCCTCCTGGGGGACCTTTGGAGGCGTGAGCGGCCCAGCGGAGGCGGAGGGGCGAGAAGGCCCAAATCATAGCTTTCCCTTGGGGTTTTGCAGGTGTTTGGCTTCTCGGATGCGTTCTGGAGTGTCTCCTGGAGGTCTCCAGGGCTGTTCTCGCCATTGCTCGGACGTCCATTCCCTGTGTTTTTTTGTCGGTTTCGTGCGTGGATTTTTCGCCAAATGATCAAGCATGCTCCTCGATGGCCGTCGCAAAGAAAAAATGCACACGTCCGAGCGATGCCAAGTGTTATGAGCGCTCCTGGCTGCGTCGTCAGGCTCGCGGCGACCGTGAGAGACCCCGGGAGGCCGTGCCGATCCGAGCTGCCGAGGGCCGCCTGGACGGCCCTCGGAGAGCGTGCCCTGGCGATCTGGGGCGGCCTACAGTGGCGGTGCGCACCAGGGGGTGCTGGCCATCGCTCGGACGTCCATTCTCTGTGTTTTTTTTCGGTTTCGTGCGTGGTTTTTTCGCCAAATGATCAGGGACGTTCCTAGATGGTCCTCGCCAGAGGAAAAATGAGCACGTCCAAGCGATGCCAAGGGTGGAGGGAGGGGGGAGGGCTTCTTAGAAGGAGGCTGCTTCTGAGAAGGCGCCGGCCCTGCATCTGTAGAGAAGGCCCGCGCCTTCTGAGAAGCAGAGGTGCCTCTAAGAAGCCCTCCCCCCACCCCCCACTCGGAAGCTGGGCGAGGGCTGGCAAATCCGTGTCTGCTAAAACGGTCTTCCCGGAAGAACGCAGCAAATTCCCCGAATGCAGCTCA